AAAACATCTGAGAAGCACGTTGAAGCACATAAAATTCTCAGAGTTTCTCTCTGATTCTGGCGATTAGCACTTATTAGAGGAAGGTGGAAAGATCACTTTGAAATTCAACATATTTTCAAGGCTATAGCCTGGCCGTTTTTCAAAAAAGTGCATTGGACGGAAATGTTTTTAATTTTATTCAAAAAAGAGAGCTTCTCTTCACTGCGCAAAAGTGTATTCTCATACTGCTTCAAGGTCTTATGAAAAATCAAAGGTCTTTCACTTTTAAAAGTCAATATTATATCAAATCTATAGGTTTATCGTTTCAAAGACGCCAGATAGCAGAGTTCTTTTTCAATAAGGGAAGTCTTTTATTTCTGTCAAAGTGTTGTGTTTCAATTTTTTGAAGTCTATGAGCTTTCCTTTCTACAAAATAAAGTGAAATATACAAAGATTTGTTTTCAAAAATGGAGTTTATCTAAACTACTCAAGTTTTATTAGTATATCAACATGTTTTGAATGAATTTATTTTTTAAGACCATATTCACTTGTAAAAATACAATTTTTGTCTAATCTAGAGGCTTGGCTTTTTTCAAAAAATCGATAAAACAGAAAGGGTTCTTGAAAAAAGCAAGAAGCTTCTACACACTACCTACAATGCCTGCCACAAGTCTTGGAACACTGACATCAATTTCCAAGGTCAAAACCAATCATCCCCCTCTCCCCCACGGAACAATGTTGGTTTACTATCAAACGGGTTAGGATTTTAGGAAGCACTTTCTTTTGCGCTTCTTTTATGATATTTCTCTAAATCATCAACATTGTTCGAGGGGGAAGGGGGCGGAAGTAGCAATTTTTTTTCATGAAAGGAATGAAAAATATTAAATGCAGCGTAAATTGGTGGGTGTTCCAAGTACTTTTGGCAGGCATTGTAGATGTTTCATTTCATTTTTGGATCGATTATGATGGCGTTATCACCATTTCTGGTAAGTAAAACTTTTTGTCGAAACCATAGATTTTTTTTCTCAAAGTGCTTAACTTAAATATATGCCTGGTTACAGAAGCGAGGCTTCTCTATTCTACTTAGATTTTTTATTTCTTCATCAGGCTTTTTTGGCTTATCTTTAATACGGAAAACATTTTAAGTCTAAAAAGGAATTTTGCTTTCAAATCTTAAAAAAAAGCTTACAGGTTTTAAACAAAAGGTTTCAGAAAATAAGTTTAGTTTGAAAAAGAAGAAAGCTCCATTACTTTGCTAAAGCATACTGTTTTTTAAGATCGTTGAAAATAGCACAATCATTAACAAATTTCAATAATTTGCAAAAATTTTCAAAATAAAAATTGTTTAAAATTTATAGGCTTTCTATTTTTCTAAAGTGTGCCAGACAAACCATTTTAAAAAATTAGTAGGTTCTCTGCAGTAAACCATATAACTGTATGTTCAGCTCCTTTGAAATAGCGTTTTTTGTATAAAGTCGGAATCCAACATAATCAGTAATTTGTGACGAAGAAAGGTTTAACTTCATTAAAACAAGCATCGGACAGAAAAGTTCCACAGCTTTTTCAAGGAAAAAAGCTTTTCAAGTCTACCAGTACTTCAAACATTTCATAACTTAATAAAAGTTATTTAGAAGTTATTTTAGATTATGTGATAGGAGATTTTATTAAAAGAAAGCAATGTTTCAAGTCAATCTCAATATTGATTTTAATATGTCAAGCCTATAGGGCTATTTTGTCGGAAAAGTGTTGGATCGAGCGTAGCGAGGGGGACGCAAGAGGAGCGGATGCCCCCAATGGCGTTTCCTGGCGTTCCAAAGGTTTGGGCCCCCATTTTCCCTTTGCCCATCTCGCCTTTGCCCCTCTTCTACCAACCCAGGCTACGCTACTGTGTCAGATGTTAAATTCTGATAAGAATTTTTTTCTACTTTGCTTTGCTACAGCAATTTTTTTATTTCAGATCATTGTGATTCGCATCGCAGCAAAACCTTTTTACCTTGAAAGATTGAGAATCGAAAGCAATAATCTGAATAGGCTTATATTTTCGCAAGAACATGACTTTTTTTTTTGCAAGAGTCTTGTAATGTGATATTATCTGATAAGTTAATCGCTTTCGTGCGTATATATTTAACAAAACAGCGCGTCAGTGAAGATATAGAAGAAACAGAATATATTCGAAAATGTGATTTTTTTACCATATGATAACTTCTTACAAAAACTTAAAAAGTTCGATTAAAAGTTATTTATTAAAAGCTAAAACCCTCAAATAAATTTTACAATTTGGCTCATTCAAATTTCAATTGGCTCGAACGGCAGTCTTTATTTTCTTTTATGATGAGTGTATGATATTTAAAGCCTGTACTTACCTGCTGGCTATCGTAATCGTCCAGTTAGCATATGTATCATTTGGCACAAGCGATACTGAAATGCTAGCTGCCTCGAGCACAAAACGATCGACATTCAAACGATCAACTTATGATCAGCGATGCCGAAACAAAGGGGGCAGATGAGGCCGCTTCCCCCTCGCGCTTTTGCCCAGAGGGGGCACGAGAGAGGGCAAAAGAAAGGGAACACGTGCCCTTTTGGTCGCAGTATCATGAATTTCTAGGGTCTGGCGAGTAGAGAATGCTTCTTGTCCGCACATCACATAGGTTTCCTACAATTCAAAGATGCCTCTCAGATAAGATTACATTATTACTTGATAGAAATTCCTTCTCACAACAAGGCTTAACTAGCTACTGGAGTTTGGCCTGGGTGAAAGGGGTGACAGAATTAAGGTCAATTCTTAATGAGGAAAACAAAACTTCACTTTCTGTGCATAATCAATGGGCAAATTGCAAAAATTTACTCTAGAGAATAAATAATTTTCGCCTTTCTTCGCCTTTCACGACATTTATCCGTATAATCAAAGCTTGCACAGCAGTTGAAAATATAGTTGTTAGTATGCATCCTTTTGACTGTACGGCAGGGACAAAGGTTCCACCAAGCTAGACATCTCATCTCCCAACATATATTGACGGAGACTATGATGGCAATGACAGGGCCTCCGACGAAGGGGGGCCGGGGGGCCTTGACCTCCCCACTTTTTTGCAAAACAATAGAGTTTTTTTCAAAATCTTTTGTTATGGGTATTAAATTTTCCCTTGGCTCCCCCACTTTTCAACCTTTGTCGGAGCCCATGAATGACATAGATAACATCCAAAAATCAATGTAATGAAGTACTTATGTAACCAGAAAGGCTCCCTTACTCATAGGTCCGAACTATTTACTCAAAGATTCGGGTACCGGGGTTTTCAAAGGACATGCAAACTTTGCTCGAATTAGTGACTATTCGAATTACATAAGCACGTGACACAAGCTCAACAGAGGTTGGCAGTATATAAGTGGCGGTTGTACTTTCCAACGGGATGGAGAGATAATTGGTGTTGGTTTTAGACAAACCGGAGGGAGAATGAGGAATTACTTTGTCTCAATTTCACAAGAATGTTTTCACAATGCAACCAGGAAAACTAGATTTGTAACTAAAATGCACTCGTTTATTAACTTATTCGCTAATTAAGATTCTATTTTCACTTATTTTCTTCCAAAGAAAAAAATAGAAAAGACGCTTCTTTAAAATTAAATCATTTTAAAACAAGTGTTAGCTGATTGCGAACAACAATTTGGATAAGAACTGTTTTCGCAAGAGGAAGCTTTGTGTTCAAGCTCCGCGACACGAACCACCTTGGAAGTTCCTCGACCTTAGCTCTTGTTTCAAATCTTTTGGTTTCTTGGTATTTTTTTTCGTGGATCTGAGAGCAAAAGCCATGAACTGTACGACCGTCTTATAAGGCAGTGAATTCATATATGTGCCAAAAGAACAAAAGACTCGATTCGCTTTCAGCTTATTGATCAGAACTGACGCAATTGATACAGCCCAGATCGTGAAATGTAACTCCATGGTCATTACTTTTCTTTAGTGGTCAACCAAGGTGATTTCATCATCTAACACAAGACGGTAACAAAATATGGTTGTTCAATTTAGGATTACTTTTTAAAAATTCTTTTCGCTGTTGACCGTCTTTCCCACTTGAAAGTTACAGCTTGATAAGAATCTCGGCAAAACTGACTTACTGATAAATGGCACTCTTCAATAGTACCACAGAAAAGGAATCAGGCAGAATGGGAACTCCTGTCCATTCGGTGAAGCCTGAAGATACTAGCGCATGCGCTAATTTATACGAGGCTTAGCCTGTATCTGCCGGGGAAATTAAAAGCAGACAACATTTTTGAGAGGAAATGCCCCCTGATAGCAAAAAAATTTATTTTTGTATCATAATTCGTTTGCTATCTGATTAATGAGTTATTTTTTGCCATGGCTAAGTTCGTCGAATGTAAACGAGGTTAAAGGGGAATCAAGAAATTCTATAAGTGACTCAGGCTTCAAAAACAACAAGGAACTGACGAGAGTTACCCTTCTACCTATTTCCTTTTCTTTGATAGTACTCAAGTTAGAAACGAGGCCATGCAAAAAAGTATACCATGACAGAACTTAAGAGCCTGAAGGCAAAAGAGTCAAACGTAAAGTAGGAGCCTTTTGATCCGTATTCACTTTGCAGGTCACATGGCATTTGTACCACTAGTTACTATACGCCTTCCATCAGTGCTATGCCATCCTTCCCCTAGGCATAGGGATACTACCGAAAAGACAATTGATGGTTAACAGCACGGAAAAAGAAGTTAGTAATGAGGAAGCGGAGGAGCGTATTTTTGTGCCCAAATTTATGTGGCTCTGGTACCCAGGATCAGTATCACCAATAAAGGGGAACTGCAACAGGGTATATCTTACATTCGTTTCACAAGAGAGCTTGAATTTTTCCGGTCTAAAGAAAATGTACTGAAAGTATCTAAAAAATTCATAAAGGTGAAGATAACATATCAAAATGGATGCTGTGAAAAGTTCTCAATGATTTCAAGTGCCCGTGTGAATGAAGGCTAGCCGAAACAGACTAAACGGTCAGGTAAATTTGAAAGAGACGCTGATGTTTGGAATAAAGCGTATATTACAATAGCAATGTCAAAAAACTATGTAACGTAATCAGGAATCAAAATACATCAGATCTATTAAGCATTTAAACAGCAGAAATTAATTCAAATGTGCAAGAAAACCTCTATAGCATACTTAGAATTAAGTCTAAATCAAAGTCTAACATATCTTCCATTTGACGTAAATATAAGAGCCAAAATCATACTCGGGAGGTAAGGGGGAATTTACAAGTAGAGTCATAAATCTTGAAGACCATTTAGCAACTAAAAGGGGTAAAACTGCAAGAGAAACGCCTCGAGTAATCATAAATATTTCCTCTTTTTCAGCCGATTGTCAAAACCATACATCCCTGTTCTTTAGAAAGTTAATATTGGTTGCCAGCTGCCCGTTTCTGTGAAATCTGGACAAATCTGAAACTCTTCATTCACAGGAATATTCTGCCCACTTTTTTGCTAGAAAATCTTCCAGAATTGGCGAAAACTTGCTTATCAAATACAGGCCAGTAGCAAATAATAAAAAATAACCATTTCTGATGTTCAAGCAAGTGTGACTTAAAATACAAAATACATCAAGACATGTAAAAGATTGATTATTGAAGTTCAAACTAGGATTGGTCATGTGATTGTTAAGTAATCATACTGTTTAAAAAACCCCATGGAATATGCAACCTTTCCGCAAATTCAAGGTTTTACTGTTCTTAAACCCAATATGCTCTGTTAACCTAGAAAAGCACAAATATTGTTGATAGGATAGTTGCGAGTGCTATGCTAACTGCGAATCCTTGAAGAGGCGTTGCAGCACTTTTTGGTGTATTTGGTTGTTTTGTTGGAGCCTGTGTTGGATTCTGTGTTGGAGCCTTTGTTGGGGAGGGAGCCATTGACCAGCCAATAGAATACTTCTCTTTTCTTCTTTGTTCCTTCATCCAATCATATAATACCTGGAAGTAATCTTTAATTGGCTGTGCTGTGAGTTCACTATATCCGGTCATATTTTGGAATGCTTCTTGCCACGTTTTGCTCTTTCCCATGCTTAGCATATCACTGTTGAAGGAGTGAACACAAGAATCAAGATAAGTCATACAAATATGAAATAAGAAGTCCACTGAGCCGACACATGCACTGGATGTTAGATAAAACCGCTTTTAAAAGGCCATTGGCAAAAACATCAGCTTTAATATCAAGGGAAAAGATTTTTAAAAAAACAACAAAGACAATACAGTTTATTCGTAAAATGAATGACATATGATGATGCTACAATGGCAGTTCTATGATCTCTACAAGCGCTTGACTGGAACACGAAGATGGAATTAGGCAAACGTCGCAGAACATCAAGCACTGGGTACAACTACGCCGAACAATTCGCTGCAGATGCAAGTATAGCATTGAGAAGGACTCTGTTCTTTGCCTAACACCTCATAGGTGTTATCGGAAACCAATTCATTAAAAGTTTGTAAATCAATTTTAATCTGTGAATAAATATTGGCTGATTTGTGCACTTAAAGGTGATCGACAGCAACAAGAGTTGATTAAGCTATCTGTCAATCAAGATGTCATATATTGCTTAAGCCGCTGTAATACCTGTCGAATACAAAATATGACACTAAAACGCAGTAAAGAAATGATCCAATAACAATTGACCAACCAAAAAGCCTCTAGACGGTTTTACGCTTATTGATTGGCCAGTATTTATTGTCATATGGTTTAAGCTGTTTTAGTATCTATCGATTGCCTTTAATCACCTGAAGATCTTTCCAGCTTCTTTAGACTTGTAGATGGAGCACTTGTTCAGGGTTCCAGTGTGTTTGGCAGCCTTGCATGCTGCTTTGTGGAAGTGGAACTGGTAGACGTAGCTCATGAAATATCTAGCAATCAAAGAATTGAATTGAATTGAATCACTAAAGGTAGCCATTAAACAAACTGCAAATTGCATACAATTGCATACAGAAGTAAATGGATTGGAGACAGAATGACTTATTACACTGACATAGTTTGCTATTCTATGAGGATATGGTAATGAATATAAACATTGCTCTTTAATTAGAAATCTGCTCACAAGAAATTAAGTATAGCAGATTTAAGAGCCCTTTGGTCTGAAGTGAACTATCTAAAAGTTGCTTCCTACCATCGTTAATTGTGAAATTCGGTCATGTACAGAGAATCACACGAAAGATTGTAACAGTGAAAAAATTATACTTTTCGAAATTGAAAAATATGTGCAAAGTTGTTGTTGGTCATTAGATGTTAGTTTATTCTTGTATCATCTAAGAATGGGAAAGTTTTCGATGAACATCTAGGTGAAATAAGGGAGAAGAGGTAAAAAAGATTTTGCGGGAAGAAAGGAATCATCAAAATCGAATGTAATTTCTGCATAACCAATATTTAAAGCCAATGTTTCTATTTTCGATTAGTATCTGTTTCATTAAACCAAATATTGGATTATAAAAGCTGGGCATGGATGTATGAGGCTTTCTAGACATATTATACAACAAGATTATGAAACGTGACGTAAACTACATGAGGGAGATGATATAACTTGCAATAATTTGCAAAAAGTGTCTGGAAGAAGAGGGAAAGGGGGCTTCAAATGTGGATAGCGCCAATTTGAAATCCACCCTCTTAAAAGACCAGTAAACGTATTGCATAGAAGTTATTTTGCTTATATATATTCTTCAAATAAGAACCTAATTAAGCAACTTTGCAAACCAAAAACATCCATAGATAAAAAGACTTTTAGCCCCTACCCCATTTTACTACAAAGGCATTTCGATAGGCGCAAATAGACTGCTTAATACTTGGCAAAATCACATTTCATTTTACCAAATATCTTTTATCTAAGCTTATATGCAAACAGAGGTTCTAATTGATAATTAATAATTTGCTTCCTTGTTGACACTTCATGGAATGCTGGTGAATTATTCGATCTTTGTCTTTATTGCAGTAATCAGTCAACAAAAAAAACAATGAAATTTCAATACAAGAAACAACTCTCCTGAAAGGAGAATTTTGTGTCGAATTGAACATGTTTACTTTTGCTTTAAGAGATTTAACCCCCCGTGATACGATTTATGCCCACGTGAACACAACCTTGTCTGCGAGGTTAAGAAGTGACAGTCATGAAGTGGTGAACAGAAACAAATTTATGTCTACATTTACGTTTTGCAAGTGAATTATTGAGCTCCCAATAAAAATTTGCTAGGTACTCAAAATTTTCTTCTACTTAAAATTTTCTTTGGTAAAAATATATCTTCAGGGCTTCTTTACCTGATGTAAGGTGTGTTGCCAGGAATGTGATACTTCGCACCTGGATCGAAGTCATTCTCGTTACGGTTAACTGGAGGGACAACTCCTTGGTATTTGGTCCTGAGCTCCCACCAGTTGCTGTTGTACTGACTTGGTTTGACTGTTCCGTTCCAAACGGCCCATCTCCACTGGTCCATCAAGTATCCAAACGGAATGAAAGCAATTTTGCTCAGGGCTGATTTAAGCAAGAAATTCAGCTCACTTCCTACAAAGGAGAATATTCCTTGTATATAATGTCCTTGTATATAATAATTGTTGATTAATAATCCTTTCAAGTGATGATCTTCTAAGAAAAAACAGTACGACCGCCTCAAAATAGCGGGTCGACTTACGGTTGTTTGTGGGTAGTGAATCCAGTAGGCCAACTTTATAAAGATGTTGAGGAGTTTCAACGGACAAAGCGAGAGTGTCTCCAACTGCTTCATGAAAACCAGGATTAGCGCCAGTTCGGTATTCATATGGTTGATTCCAGTACCAAAGATAGTAATAAATATGGCCTAATTCATGATGAATCGTGATAAAATCATTTTGGTTTGGACTGGTGCACATCTTGACTCTGAAATAGAAATACGAAATCAACACAATGTAAGGTACCTTCATTTTGGTTTTCTTGTCACATGTTTGCAGGTAGGTAGATTCCGGCTACCATTGGATGTCTTAGAAGGTACGACAAGAGAAGTTTTTGTTCAGCATTGGGCTGATAGAAACATGGTGTGAATAGCCTATATGATAACGCCTATACCTAATTTACAACACCAAACAGCTAAAGAAAATCTTCAGTCCTATCATGCTGGGAACGCAAGCGCTCTACTTCGATTTTCATGCTTTCTTTTGTCCATTTACGACTATAGGTTTCTTTTTTAGTCCTTGTTCGTTCTAATTAAATTCTGCATCTACCTCTATCTACTTCATTTAATGAAGCGATCTACCTAAAGCTATAGAGGGAAAAATCCTTTCTTTTAAACTTTACACCAGAAATATAGCTCTACCATAAGCGCTATACCCAAGCTATAACATGTTAAAAATATCACAAGGATTACCTAACATCTTTATCCGGGTTCGTAACTGCGAAATCCCAAGCTGATGCATGGCAGACAACTGAACGTCCATCCTTTGGCTTTTCAAGCATGGATTTCTTCCAGAATCCATTGGGAAGCTTCATCCAGCCAATGGAGGTGAAAAATTCTTCGGCCTTCACAAACATGTCAGTTATGTTGTTTTTGTAAAGCTGCTCCAGTTTTGTAGAGATGTCCAAATTAGGTTCCTCTGGAATAGGAAATGAAATCTTTCTCAGAAATGTACCCAGCACAGACTACCCTATACTCACCATCTTGCTTTAATCCAAAATAACTTTGCTTCTAAAGCTTCGGAAACAAACAAGATCACCTGTCCAGTAATATCTCTAACCTGAAAACATTTATCCCTAGGTTCCCAACAATATTTAGTATACTCACTACGAGGTAGTTACTATTATGTTAGCATACGGGTTCGTGTGTGATAAAAAAGACACATTATCTGAAGGCATTTGAAAAAACTGAATGCTTAAGGTAAATAGCACAGTAGCACAAGGCAATAAACTTTTACTTGAGCGACAAGAGCTTTCGCTCAAGATTTGGGGACATGATGGCTAAAATCAATGTCTTATGCAAAATTAGAGAATGATTGCTTTCTCGCAATTTTCTAGACGGTGATTCTCACGGCAAAACTTGGACTTTGTTTGGCGCGCCCTCAGCGTGGTTTGCGCCCTAAAAGCAGCTTGGAACATTCATACGAGGCGATTGCGCAACGACGCAAGCCTATCCGATACTTGAATTTATACAATTTATTTCACCGAGAGTGTGAGGGCTTTGTTCTTTTTTAAAGATAAAAAATTTTCTATTATCTTAAACTTCTTATAATCATAGGAAAGCTTCAAAGATCAATGTGGCTAAAACTACAGACTAGATTGGCGACAAGAGCGCCTTGTTTGAGGGCTTGAAAAGAAAATCACTAGGGTTTTCTATTGGTTTATTGCTGAACGCTAAAATATATCGGAAATCACAAAGCCAGCGACAACCGTCCTATCCGCCCATGGTTTCTCAAATGTAGCAAATAATATGCGAAGGATGGTCATTTTGAAGGGATCTAAATTCGAAATCCATCGTATACTCAGAGATGGCGCCACGAAATTGAACCGGGGGGGGGGGGCAATAATTTAACAAATTTCTATACCGCTCAGAATAGACAATTAGACCATTGTCAGAAAAACATTATTGATTTTTAGAAAAAAATTAGGAGGGGAGGATTCATGCGTTGGGGAATAAAAGAAAGAAAGGGTGATTTTTGTTCAGAGTGCACATCAATGTAAATAACAAGAAGCTGTTGCATTGATTATCAGGGTACATTCCATGTACTTAGGTCCGAAGATCTTCGGACACTAAGGTTCTTTTGGCGTTCCGAGTGCTAACTTACAAAAAACATTTTTGACATACATTAGTAGGTATGCTAAACATGAAACCATTTACATGGTTAACATAAAAAAAATAAAACAAAGACTCGCTCACTACAGTTTTCTCTATTAATCAGTTTTCTTTGTCTGGCGTACAATATTTACCGTTTGACTAACGTATATTTGCTCATATATTTGGCGTACCTAAACAAATGCCCCGGAAGACCTTCGGTAGGGGGAGGGGGGCGTACAGTTGACGTGAAATCCACCACGGATTGATAGAGAGAATTTCACTTCCTGAATAGAAATGTGCATCGTTTTTGTCTCTAGTATTTTCAGTAGGCCATGTTTACGCATCCAAAATGCAGATATTGAATGTTACCTATTGAATGGATGAAAATAATCGACAAACAATAAAAATATACCTAAATAAGTTAGTAAATAGATCGAATAAAATCAAGAAGTATATAAACAGTTTTTCCCTTTCTATTTCATACAAAATTTTCATCTCTGAAAAAGTTAGGGACTGAAGCCCCCAGAGCCCCCCACCCAGTGGCGCCGTGCCTGATACTTTGTGCACTCAAAAGGAGATTATGGTATTCCTTTTTGGTTGTCCGTTATTTTCCCTGAAAGAGCTTAGCAAGGGTTCTTTCTTCCGTGTTGGGTAATAAGAATCGTGACAGGGATTATGCTAAAAGGACGGGTTTCTAGCTTTCGACACGTCAGTTATACCTCAGTTTTCTAAGAGTAGTTTTTACACTTGCTCTTCGCATATCGCAGACACATTTGCTACATTTGAAAATAAAATGGAACATAATTTACACTTCAATGTACTGCCCAACTATTAGCTTTCAGTTCCATTCAGTGCATGTGCCCTGTAGCCCTGCTCATTCTTTTGGCATGTGACTGTACCAAGTTCATTCAAATTATGATTGCAACGATGACATGAAGCTAGCAGTGCAATGACACATTTCGCACAGACGCAGAATAGGTCAGATATTCTGTGACATTCAGTGGCCGGAAGAAGATATAAAGTTTCTATTCATCTTGGGGGAGATGCAATAAGGATTAACCTTGCCCAAGGTTAAGCCCCAGCCAGGTCCCAGGACATAGGGGCAAACGCCTCTCCTTTCAGGTTTTGTTAAGATACAGGAAAATTTTGGAATATTTTGCAACTGAAATCAACTGTAATGAAAGGAAATCGGAGGAAAAAGCAATTCTTGATGGACGTCATATTGACAGAATAGCGCTATCTGACCCTGAACGACCTGTTACTACGTACAGCAGTCAAAAAACTGTTCGACGTTTATTACACGACATTAAAGGGATTAACCTACCCGGATCAACTAGTTCGACCATTCATAACTTACTTGGGTATGGTGCAACCAAATCATAAATGTTGGTCCAAGATTGTGCCCACATGTTTCCAAGAACGTGCGCCGGAATTGGCTGTCCATCTTTGACTTCGGCATATTTTTGCGATAATTTGAACCTGACATATGCATGAAGCTCTTCATAAAATGGCTTCAAATCAATCCACAGTTTCTCTGCGATGGGTCCTAGCTGATCTCCAACTTCATACCACGACCGCACGTAGTCGCCATAGTCTTTCCACTTGTTCTCCCTTGCACCAGAGTTGAGTACATCAACAAACTCTGTATACACGGATTTCATTGCTGGACCTGTCGCATCTCTCCATCCTTTCCAAGCGAATTGAAGTTCGGTGTAATTGCGAGATTTGCTAAGGATTTTGTATAGATCGGGGTCTAAGCTAAGACATTTTTGGCCAGCCCAGGTCTTGTTCAGAGAGGGAACTTGGTTGCTCATTGCCTTGACGCATCCTTCGCTATACATCTTTTCTAACTTTGCCCCCAAATCTGCTGCTTTCTTTACAGTCGTCTTGTTTTTCGATGAAGACGTCGACAGCAGAAAATTGAATTGTCTTTTGATATCATTACTTGATCCAGTTAAATTGTACTTCGATGCATTTGCTCTCACTTGAGACATGTACGTCGAGTATTCTAGGCTGGCTGCGACGCTTGCTTTGCTGTTACTTTCAGTTAGATTTGTGTTATAAACCCATTGTGCCTGGCCATACTTGTAGTCTACTTGTAGCACATCAGTGTTAAATTGATTCAAAAACTCTTCCGGTGTTCCCTGGCAATTTGCTAGGACAACCAGTGTTGCAAAGAGCAATGTACCCGAGAGATTTAACACCACCATGACTCGCTTAGCACTTGATACTCTGTGACTTGACTGTACACCAACTTCCTTCTGCTTTACTCAAAAGCGTGTTGTAACGTGATCTATGTGGACAGCCGTCAAAAAGAGGCGAATTTTTAAGTGTACATTACGGTATTCCATGACAAAACGTTGACAGATGGCCTTTCTCAATATTTGTCGAGCGGCTTAACATCAGTCTACGATGGCGCGTTTAATTGGGGCTTAAAGGATGTCCAAAAGCGGCAAAACCGTGCAAAAATCAGCCAAAATCCGCAATGGAAAAATGCAGAAGACGCAGTCGCAATGGAAAAATGCTATGACACAAATGCCAACTACTTACATAACTTACTGTACTTTTAAGAAAAAGGAACCGTTTCTAGAAGTGACTGTATTACAAGTTCTTATGAGGCCTTATAAGGGGTATTTTAAATATGAAATAAAATATTCGGGATAAAAATATAAATATTTGACTTTTTGGTCTTGAAATATGAAATAGCTTAATAACTGAATACCTCTTTAAATGTTGCTTGACAATTTTCTATTTGATAACAGCATTGACTCAAGTGACTATTGATCTGTAGACATGTTAAGATACCATATTACCCCTGGGTTGTTATTTTAAATTTTTCAACTTCTTTAGGGGTTTAAAAGACTTTTCATTTTGGCTTATATTGTCTCAACGAAATAGATGTGAACTTCAAATAACAACATAAACATATTTTTATCTACATTGATTGATCCATGAATTCTTCGTAAAAATTCTTCCTTAGAAAGAATTCTCTATGAACACCACTTTTGTAAATTAGGGTACAGGGCTTCCCTTTTAGGCGCGCAGGGAGACTGAAAAAGCCGATGCAAAAAAACTTGACCCGCATTAGATGGAAGTATCTGATGTTGTGGACCTTCAAGATCTTGTTTGGGAGGGGGGGTGGGGGTTGGCTTGGTATAGATATTGCCCGAATATTACACTCTTTTTTTAAAAGAACAATTTTTAAAAACATGAGCCTAAAAATGAACTCTCACTTGCCTGATAAGTAACTTTTGCCTGTTCAAGGGGGCCCCTCCTCCCCCACACCTATTTCTCCTACGCCTACTCTTGTCGATTATTTGGATTACGAGGACGATGAAAGACAGGATAAGGATAAGGATAAGATAAGACGGGATAAAGATAAGGATAAGATAAGACAGGATAAGGATGTCCGAAAGACAAAATTACCAGTTGCTTTTTCTACCTAGGTAACCAAAAATTTGGAGCCTTCAGGAAAATGAAAAAGTAGTATTATCTTTTGGCTATCAAAATACAGTAAATGAATAAAATCAAATAACATTTATCAAATTCTTGAACAGGCTGTTGGTGGCAAGAAAATTGTAGAATTATGGTACCTTAGGGATGGCCAGAGACTGTATCTAAAATGGATTTTGACTGAAGGAAAATCTGAGGCAATATGTTTAAGCTTTGCCTAATCAATATACCGTAAAAGCTTTTTCAAGCCCAGGGGAGGGGGCTTTTTTTCTCAGTCCTCGATGGGGGCTTAAAAGAGAGAGGGGGGCTTATTGAAAATTGAAGTAAAAACTGTTTTAAAAATGCCCTTGTCAATTTTTTTATTATAAAAAT